GACATCTTACCATATCATATTCTACTACCAGTCCATCACCTTAGACGAAATAGGGTGAATACATCTCATTACACTGATTTACTGGTAGTCTCGAAACCCTACTCTCATCTTACACGAAATAGGGTGAATACATCTCATTACACTGATTTACTGGTAGTCTCGAAACCCTACTCAAATATGAAGGAATGTAGACCAGGATGGTGTTGACTTTTGCATGGTCGCGGTCTCCTTTCGTTTTATATAAGTTGTTTGACTTTTGTTTCGCAACTTGGTCATATTAGCAGGAAGACCTAGAGAAACGCACCTTGTCCGGAGTCCATAGTATACATGAACATTTCCTGACGTTTCGTTGGCATTATCAGTGAGTCTTGCCATTCTCAGCAATCCAAGCTACAACTCGTCAAAAGAGACAAGTGAAGTCAATCCCTTGATCGACTTTCTGTCGAGACGGTTATGCTATCACTTCTCGTTCTGTCCTGGTCCCTCTATCCATTTCCTACCCTCTAGTCTAGCCCTCGTCCTATCACAATTTATGGCATGTTCATATTTCACAAGAGATGTGCCCTTAGGCGAATTTACTGTGGCGTTATCACACTTGCTGCTTGCCTTGCTCCACTTCGTTTCGAGTGGCTGATCCTGCTATACTCTCTTGTCTGGATCTGTCTCATGGGCCATTAGGTCCGTTTCTTATATTTCTGCTCGACCGATTTCACTCTATTTCAGCCCCAGCGTACTTTTACTCCATTTCTATTTCTCAAGCCGTCAGTAGCATGTACCAACTTGCCTCATCTTCAGAGTGCCTAGGCTCTGATCCCCATGCCTGCAGAGATTAAGCATTGCCTTCACGCATCATCTCCTCGAATTAGCCCTTGTACCCTGAGCAAACTGTGGTCATTCATCGCTGGTCGCGTGCTGCATCTCAAGTGGATTATTAGCATATTTGCCCACAATGCCTGATTTCTCTGACTCAATCCAGTTCGGAGTCCATTGTATGCATGATCATTTCCAAAGTCGGACCGTGGGTGTGGTACAGTCCAAGACGTTTCGCCCGCATCGTAGTCGGCCACGTCAGTGAGTCTTGCCATTTTTAGCCCCACACTAGAACTCGTCAAGGACACAAGTGAAGCCGATCCTTTGACCAAATGTGTGTTAAACAGTTGTGGTATCTCTCCTTCTGCCCTGGCCAATTCACATTTCCTATATCCTCGTATCACGCCTTCACTTTTACACTCTTTTACCGTGCTTATTTAGATGTAGTGTGGTGTGCCCTTTTGAGCGGCATTCATGAGAACCCTCCACACT